CCCTTGTCTTCCTTCCTTAGATAGAATCTGTTTTGGGGGGAGGGGGCAAGGGGATGGGGTGAGTGGACTTCCTACAGAGGCTGAGCCCTACTGAAGGAGCAGCTGTTCCAGGTTTAAACGTCTACAACAGTGCTTCAAGTCCTCCCCAGTGCTGAAGGATACGGTAGGAGAAGGGGGTCTGGGAGGCTTAAGGAAAGGAGGGTGCGCTAAAGCAAGAAGCAGAAGAGAGACATGAGTTTCTGCCCTAGATGTGTTGTTAATGGATCATATCATCCCGTCAGCAACTCTCACATTCTGAATTCAGAGGGGTCATCTTTCCATTCATAATTTCCTTCTTTGGTATTGGATAACATTATCTCTGCCTGCCAGTGGGCAGCAAGTGCTTTCCCACGAGATACAAGGTTGCTCTTTCTGTCATGGTGATGGTGGTTGGGGTGCCAGTGAGGAGAGTGGAGGAGGAAGGGGAAAGGACTGAGATACGGGCTTGATGTTAATCGGATCTTAGGCGAGACAGATCAGATGCTCTCTCTGCTCCAAAATAATCAGGCGGTGCGCCCCATTCCCTGCCCACCTGAAATGTTTTAAGACTTTTTGCACTGCTGGAAATGGAAAAAGTAGTATCTAAGAAACATCTGCAGAAGCTCATAGAGCCCATCGTGGCATAGCAGGGGATTTATGTGCTAGTATTTTGGAATTTCCCTGTGAGTGGTGAAGAGCACCCTGATTGTCACCGTTGTCATGACGGGCCGTGGCAGCGTTGTTATGTGCTGAGAAGGGACAGTTCAATTCCATTGCAGAGATGGTTTTACTTCACTGGTAACCAAGTAATTTCTCTGAGTCCTGTAGAGTTGGTACAATCAAAAGCAGATCAACTTGGGAGCTATTTGGATTAAACATACTCTATGGTGCGGCATTTTGATCACTACTCAATTCATTGCTGCCTCATTTTGAGAGAAAAAAAACAAAACATCCTAAAAATACTACCGTCAAGAAGTACAAATGGCTTTGATGGCTACAGTTTCTCACCATTCTACTGGGACCATAAGCCCCACTCTTGAGAGCAGGCTTCTTTTCCCTCCCATTTAATTGTATGCAAGCTCCTACCAGGAAAGAAATCTGAATCTGTTCTTACTTTTTGGCATGAAAAATGTAGGAGACTAGGAAGCATATAAATATATTCTTTGTTGATTCTGCCCCATTTTGTACCAGCATGTTTGCCCCTTTCCAGTCTTCCTGTGTACTAAAGCTCCACCTTCAGGACACAAGTTCACATTTGAAAAGTGTGGGAAATACAAACAACCATAATAAATAGTTAAGCATGTGGATCCTGTATGTCTTTGATTTCTTTTTCTTGGATACTGCTGTCTGGCCAAGTATCCAAGGCTACAAGTCCCATTGGTGACAAAGCTTCCCTCTCCAACTGACGGAACCCATCCCGTTGGGAGTCATCACTATTGCACACGCAGAACTCCTTGTAGCACAACTGGCTGTCCTCCCCGCCGACCCCCCAAAAAGAAGGTGGTGCGGATTTATCATCCAG